AGGATTGGGGAAAGGAAAGGTTCACCAGCTTTACTTTAATTTTATTAGAAATGTAAGCTCTCCAAGCCACTGGGCACAAACAGGCCCGACTTTGAAGAAATGTCATGTGAATGCATGTAAACAATACTTTCATCTACAATTATAGAGGCTGGGCTGTGTTATCTCCTGTACACTCCAGAGGTGTCTTATTGACTACCTACACACACACAGCTACAGGGCGCCCTTAAGTTTGGCTTGCAGTGAATGCTTAACCTATCTGTTTTCTCCATAACAGTTGGCTAATTATTTCATCTTGTCCTTTAGAAATCACAGGGTGGCAATCTCAACTGCAGTTAAAGCAGGGAAGCCTTTCCATTAACTTTTACAGACCAAGACTGGAGGCACATATTTAGGGAGGAAAATGCGATATGCAGCTCAGTGGCAGATAATATTATGCACATATATTTAAACAAGATAGTCTTCTAATTTCACCAAGTCTAAAAATAGACCTTTAATGCCTCATAATTTAAAACCGCACTTGGGAGGAAGCATTGACACCAGGAACCGGAGCTCCCTTCTCACTTCAGAATTTTCCACCCACCAGCTGACCTCTATGATTTGCTATGTGAGGAGAAAGCCATTCTGCAAATGACCAAATTCTTGCTCTTGACATCGCAAGCGGATTTCACCCCACGGTTTGAGCTCCCACTGCATCATCTCTGCCTCCCCAGATGTGTAGATGGTACAGTGATCATGGAGAAAGACGATGATGTTGCCAAGTCCTTGGCAGCATGAGTCCTTGGGATGTGGGCATCTCCCATGCTGATGGAACACACCTGGATCATGCCACCCATGAACAGGACAGGCAGTGACAGAGCCTGCCTAACTCATCTAGTCACTGCCAGATGGCCACCTCACCTATTTTTTGTTCTGCCCACCCAAATCTGTATCAAGTGTCCAACAAGATGCTTTGAGTTAAGGACAAAAATACATCCCTTTAAAGAAAAGGGATCTGAACTGGAAATGCACTTGATGACAAGGTGAGGTTCTGCTGTCATATGTGTATTTATGAGGTTTGGAGTGATATCTTTAGGCTTTGAGGGATTTTTGTAACATAAGTGGAATACTGATGAGGGCTGTGCCTAAAGGGGAACTACCTGATTTTTACAACCTCTCTCCATCATAAGCTCTGGCAGTTACATGAGAAATTTGTGGCTGTATCTGAAAATGCTTTTTGTTACACTTAACCTTCTCTTCCATAGGAGGCATTGCCTATCCTGCTTCTCATGGAGATCAGATAATGTGCAGTTGTATCTAGGCCTATGTAACTCATTTTGAGAAATATAATAATACCAAGTACGTGTGACAGAGCTCTATATAACTTTAATCTGTCAGCATGTCTTTCTCCTACACCTATTTGTCCTTAAGAGCTCTTTCCCTGCAGACCCACTACCGAAGGGTACCAGTACCAGTTTCCAGAGAGAAACACAGTAGATAGATACCAGTAAGCATGCAATGCAAGATAAGCGATATTTTCCTTGCCATTCCATTCTAATACTACAAGTCAAAACAGTTGCTATGTAAAAAATTTTGCATTTCAAAACTGTTAAGTTGAACAATTTCCATTTCCACTACAAAGTCTTCTGTAGATGAATGTATCTTCGTGAAAAAGAACACTTTCACATTCAAATTAAAGCATAGAACTGTTAAAGATCAAAGTAGCTCTAACCATTTAGATTACTTTTTGGTGGAACTAGAAAATTAACATGTGAAGAAGAGCATGTAAATGATGTGTAAATTATAGAGTCATAGAGTATCTTAGAAAATATTATTTTTATAACTGAATGAAACTGACAGGGAAAGGAAGACTTGTGACTTGGATTTTACAGAGAACTTACTGTTGGATAGCAATCCAAATATAAATACTAAAGTAATATATGCAATTGCAGCAAGTATTTTAGGTGCAGCAGGGATCATTATTGGGATTTGTTTTGCAAGCACTTAACATTTTCATAATAATCTGAAAGAGAAGGTTCATAGTAGGCTAATTAAGTTAGGAGACAATTCTAAACTGAAGGAAGTCACAAAGCATCAATGAAGACTGAGACATAATGTGACAGGATTGAAAGAATTAGGAAAATAAGAAAGAGAAAATGATACTCAAACTTGGAAATGTACAGTCAACTATATCTTAATTTAAAAATGCCCTACACAGGAGAGAAGTGAGTTTGAAACAAACAAAGCATTAACACCAAAGGAGTAAGTGAATTAGATTTTGGTTGACATGTAATCAGAAACTGCATAGATTACTTTTGTTCTGAGTGCTTGTGAAGAAGTCTGCTCCTTGGAGAGCTTACAGAAACTTCCAGGAACTCAAGGATGAAAGAAGATCCCACACATTCATTCATGAGGGAAAAAAATTACAATAGTTGCACTCAAGATCAGGCAAGTGGCAGTGGAGATTGTGCTTATAGACATAAATTTATTTGAAGAATGTAAGGACCAGAAAAAAGTTAGAACTGGAAATTTCTACCTGGTAGAAAATAATCAGTGCAGAAAAGAAGCATCATGATCTGGGATACTTTAGTGTTTTGCTAGATCACCAGACATGTTGGTACAAAGAAATTTCCATCAGCCACAAGGATCAATGGAGCATAGCTTTTCTATCTCCTATATATTCTCCATGATTTCATCTAAGAGTTAAAAGCAGAAACATCTATTTAGCATAAGCTGAGTTTATTCCTAAATGTCACTGTAGTGAGATGCAATTCTGCAGTGAAATTTAGGCACACTATAATATGAAATCAGCACATCCCAGGACTGCAAGACTGCAGCTCTACAGATGGTCCAACAATCCGCTGCAGCATTAAGAGACATTTTCTACTCCTTTTTAAACACTGAAAATATCATTTGTCTGTGCACTAATCCAAATATTTTATGGTGCATCTCTTCCAGTTGTCAGCTGATTTGTTATACTACATTATCTCTCACTGTCTCCCTTACCCCTCCTCTGCTGTAGATGCCACAAATGAAAGACAGCATACTTGTGTAAAATCATAGCAGTTTAGGAGCCCTAGTTTCAATTTCAAAAGGAAAAGAGGTAAATCCCAGAGCCTCTGCATTTTGCTGTCAGCTCAGAGACAGGCCATTTGCTATGTAGCACTCCCTCTGCTCTGGGTTTTCCCCTGATTTGTGTGCTTCAGAGGAGGGTGCTAAACTTGGAAATGTGGGGTGGATTTAGGGCAGGATGTTTTGGAGCTAGGAGAGAAAAAAAAGTGTGAAAAACGAAGAATGTTGTATTATTTCTAAGTGAACCTGCAAGAGATAAAAGTTATCTTGATTTAAGTTAAAAAGATAAAACTTTGATTGTCTGAAGTCAAAAGGTCCCATTGACTTCAGGGGGATTCTCTGGCCACTAAGGACATAGTGGCCTTTGGCCATATTCTGTCTTTGCACTCATTTCTGTAACTGAGCACAAACCCCAACTCATGGACTATCAGAACTCCTGCATTTCTGGACCTTCCGTGGAAGCAAGGTCCAGAATGTTTCTCTCTGGAAACTGGTACTGGTACCCTTTGGTAGTGGGTCTGCAGGGAAACAGCTCTTAAGGACTGTTTGCATTGCCTCTCAGCAGCTTTGCAGCAGTGTAATCCACAGTTGCAGGACTGAGGTATGCACAAGCCATGTGTGAGTAATACTCATATGGCCATGACAGCTGAGGGAGCAAATGCTCATCTCCAATCCTGCACTGTGGGTGTACTGTTTTATTGGACAGTGGCCTAGGCCAAATGTGATAATAAAGCAGGTCTTAATAAACAGAGTGCCATATAAGTTTTAACTTTCTCCTGGACAATTTGCAGCTAAAGCACACAACGTGTTATAGAGCTCCCTACAAAGCACGCAAGGACAGAATACATGCTATCAATTTTAGCTGCAACTTCATTTTTTTACCATACAGTAACTACTATATATCCCACTACTGTAACGTATATTGAGGGGAGGCCACAGCCCTCAGTAGGACTGAGCACAAACACACATTTACAGATCTCAGTGTAATCCATGTACATGAGTCAGCAAAGTTAGACCAGAACTACAGGGTTTTTTCCATGATTTGAAATGAATTAATTTGTTAAGAATGCTCTTGAAGATGACTTTTTACCTTCTTCTTTTTTTTTTTTTTAATTAAATTCCATTAACAAAGTGTTACCCTTAGATTAAGTTCTCAGCCACAACTGATTCAGCATATTTCACTTCTTCAGGTACCTAATTAGGATGCTAATCTTTGTTCATGTTATTTCTTTGTAATAGAAGCAGTACTTCCAGGGGCTTTGGTGAAATACAACTACAAGCATTAGATGAACAGAAATCCTCCTTAGACAAAAATCACCTTTAGTCATTGAGTTTCTAACAGCCTCACCTCACACAGGGGTCTCTGTCAGTTGTCAAAGATGAAAGCAAAGGGACAGGCTCTCCAAGGCCTTCGGGCAGAGAAGCAAGGATACCCACAGAAATAAATTCAGAGTTTGTGTACTTTAGGAATTTAGCGAGCGTGCTCACATCTGTGCAGCTGAAGTAGGAACTGGTACTTTTTCACAGTAAGTACCCTAGAATTTGCTGCTATGGGGATTCTGGGTGTTGACAAGAATACGGATAGTTGGCTGAAGAGATCATTTAACCCTGCCAGTAATGAGCTCATTTGAAACAAGCCCCTTCCTAATTATCACTTGGTTATGATTGATTCATCACCTGCTTTGATGCTCTTATTTAATAAACAGAAATTAACTGCTGGTTTTAAGAACTGCATAATTTTTAATAAAAAAAGATCTGCCTTAACGTTATATCAATTAGTTCCAGACTTATTTTCTTTCCCATACTCTCTGTATGTGTGTGCACACACACGTGTGAATATGTAACTATTGTGTACCTGTGCATGGAATGCCTGTATGACATTTTAAGGAAAACAGTACTGGATCTTAGCTTATATATGCACATTGCACTACAGGAATAAGAATTTTTCTTACCGATTTCGCTCATGGATATCCCTGGAGCTAATTGCCCACTGTTGAAAGAACTATAGGTAAACAAGTTTGGTACAGAGGTGAGGTCGTAGATAGGTTCCTGCTTTATCTGTTTGATTCCAGTCATGTCTAACCCAGACTGGTCTGGGGAGGGCTGGGCAGAATCCACGCTGTAATAGCCCTCAGACTTGGGCAGGTCGATGACGTGCCCGTTGGCGTAGGTGCTGCCAGTCTCGCTGTTCAGATTGTTCAAGCCATTGCTGATGCTGCTGCTGTAAACCCTGGCCAGAGCTTCTGCCTCACCACTCTGCTGCTGCCGCTGCTCCTGCAGTCGCTGCTGGTGCTTCTGCACTTCAGCATACAAGCTATCCCTCTGCTTTTTGGACATTCTTCCAAATTTCACAGCTGAAAAGCAAAGCACAATGTGAAACCATTGTTGTCTTTAAATTTTTCTCGATTCCCCTCAACCCCACCACTCTTCTGTCATTAACTTTCAGGGTTAATTTTGCTGTGGAAACACCTCTTTCTGTGGAAATGAGAAAGGATGCAAAGCTTTGCGTCACGTACATCTCATAAAGGAAAAAATATTGCGTACTTGATTTTATCAGGTGACAACAAGAACTCCTGTTTGACAGGAGGGCCTCAGTCAAGTAATTCACTTCCCACTGTGAATGTTAAAAAGACCATGCATCCTTTTATATCTCTGTGTTCAATGAACAACAACCCAGAGCTGTATGAAATGTACAGTCTGTGAATTCATATCCATTTACTAACTTTCCACAGATCTTTACACAGTACACTAACAAGATTAGTATTCTGGGTGAAAACAAGCCCCAAAAACTTATTACTGTATCCTTTCAATGGGGTGTTATCTTCCTACTTTAAAAAAAAAAAAAAAATTACAGGTTAGAACCTAGAGGAAAATAACAGATTTGAAAGTAAACAGCACAAATGAATGTCATCTTTTCCACAGAGCAAAGTCTTAAGGATTTATGCAATCTCCATTTCAATAACCTTCATGCACAAATCCATGCACTCCTTCTGATGAGAAAGGGAGGAAAATATAAGAGGGCAAACCATTTTCCCCAGACACAGAGTTCATTACACCGAGATTGAAATTTTCAAAGGTGACAGGCTGATTGCTGTGGAGCTAGGAGGAGTAAATTCACAGCCTGTATACACAGTAGATCACAGCCGATTATCACTCTCCACCCCCATCTCTCTATAAATTCTGGTCTTTTACTGGGCTCGATCTTGGGATCTTAGAGCAGAGACAGTTGTTGATTGTGCCCTAAAACAAATGAGAGATATATCCAGCAGAATTCATCAGAACAGGTATGGATGGGGGCATAGCTCCGGAAATACAGAGTTCTACGTATTATCAGGTGTATTTTCTATATTGTGTATTTCCAGTCTGTCTGAAATTTGGATCAATTCAGAATCATATTTATTAGCACATGACTCTTATTAGCACATTTAGCCCTTGAGAAGAGTATGAACTTATACGTGGATAATGTAAAATTCTTCATTCAGGAAAAAGAACAGAAGAAGTAGAGCATAACATGAAAATACAGTGCCAGAACAACAAGGTGACAGCTGCTTTATTTTCACTTTTTTTTTTCTTTTACATCTAGAGGGTTTTTCTCTTATTGCCAGCCTAAATTTAGTTGCAGCCCTACATTCAGGCTACAAGTTACCTCACACAAACTCAGCCTGCCCCTGGAATCAGTGCATGGTATGCTGCATACCCTTATGGACAATGTACAATGACTGTATTTTAAATAATTTTGAATAATGCAATTGTGTATTTTCTTCAAATTTAGGGCCTTAGCAATAAAACCAATGTTTATTCTCATTATATATTCATTAATTGGATTCTCCAGCTGCTGTCAATTAGCATCCTGCCTCTGCATGATAAAAATGCATTTATTACATGGCTGAGAGGTAAAATCAAATGAAAGTTTTCTGTCAAAAAGTTCACACAGCCAATTTTAAATGTGCAAGAGCTGTTAGTAGTCTTAATCCTAAACAATCATAAAGACCTTTACATCAACTAGGACAGAACTAAGTGATCTGTGTGAAGAATCACTCCTTTTGTCTCTCTGCAGTGGTCTCTGAATTACTGGTTGGGAAGATGGCACTGTCAGTCACATTAAAATGCCCCTGTGATTGATCTTAAATAATTGGAAGATACTATTTTCAGGAGGAAAGCATGTGCTGTTAAATTGTTGAAATGTTACTTCTTTAGTCACCATGAAGAATTAGGAGTTAAAGTGTCAAGTAAACTGGGTACTAGGACCAAAAAGAATTCATGGACTAAAGGCCCTTCCCAGGTGAGGCTGGTAAACAAGTAACTTCAGTGAGGCATAAGACACGCTGAGGCAGGAGAAGACCTATTATGGTCCAAATTTTGACAAGTTTATAGTCTGTGGTCCATCTAAATAAATAGCTCTTTATGTAACTTCTCCATCAATGACGCAATTTAAAAATACACATTTTGAGTCAACCCTTTAAGAGAGAAAATTGCTTCCAGGAAATTGAAATTAATATAAACTGCTTAAAAAAATTAGAACATTTTCCTCTAATACTCTCTTACTGTATGAAACATGTTTTTGAGCTGGAAACCCCCTGCACGAGGAGCGGTGCCCAGGGCATGCCAGCTGTGGGCAACCTTGCTCCCACTGCCGGCAGCTTTGGTGTGGTGCATGTTCTCAGCTGCTGATATTGGCTGGTCACACCACCGCCTGGAAGGTGGAACTGAGCTCTACAGGGAGCACAGGATCCTGAGACGGCATAGGCTGTGGAGCTTTCCTCTGGCATAGGATATACTTTCTGTACTAAATTAGGAAACTTTCTTCTGCAGACCTAGATAGGGACAGGAGGCAATGTGCAAGTAAAAGAAATGGGGTTTCTTCTAATGCAAAATATTTGGTCAAGTGCACTGAAAAAAACAAACAGAAACCCCTAATGATATCAAGGTGTAAATTTGTGTAGGGTTGCATCTCCTTACCACCAGTCCTTCAGAGATCTCAGGGAAATGGATGCTTTCACACATCAATATGAAATGTTAAGAAAAATGCTGATGTTTAATGTAATACTTAATGTAAACCCACCTCTCCAGAGATGACTTTTTTGTGTTCTGTGTTTTTGATTAGAATAACATATTTCACTTCTGCCTGCCTCTTTTTGCTCTAAACTGACACTGCTCTCCATTTTGTGATTTTCCCCACCCCTGCCCATGAAAATAGCCTTCTTTGTTAAGTGGATGGCAAAGATCGGCTCACAGCGCACGCCTTACAAAGCACGGAGCTTCTCCTCTCTCTTTTTGCAGAAATCTACAGGGAGTTCGAGTAAGTCATCAGCGAAGAAAAGTTTCAAAGGGCTTAGATGTGAAGCACGGATTTGACTCCTTACCATCTCGAGACATTCCCAGGGCAAGACATTTCTGCAGTCGGCAGTGCTGGCAGCGATTTCTGTTGGTTCTGTCAATTAAACAGTTTCTCTGTCTTGGACAGGAATAGGATGCATTGTTCTGCTGACTCCTCCGAAAGAATCCCTTGGGGCAAGAGAGCAGGAAAGACCAAGCATTACCACGAGTACATTTATGTGTGTGAGCATGCATGCACACACACACACACAGAGGAGCATGCAAACAAATACAGCTAACCCCTGTTTAGAGCACTGCTACTTATGCTGTGGCTCTGCAGATATGGTGGTATTGTATTAAGGAACATTTAATTATAACAAGGAGAACTGTGTATTATTCTGTAAAGAATATCATTCTGCTTTGTTAAAACTAAATTATGTTGCAGAATGCATTTTTACTATGCAATAATGACCCCGTATCATCTAATACTTGCTCCTGATAGAGGAAAGACTTGTCAGCATTTGTAAGAGATGACTTCAAAGTACTTGTTTTGACATTTCTCCCTTTAATGAAGAGACTAACTGTAACTGTAGAGGTAACTGTTACTGGGTACACATAGCATGAGAAGCTGAAGTCTGCTGTTCACTTTTACTTGGCAAATGTTGATCTGATCTGGAGAGGCATATGATTCAGGAGTGAAGTAATTAAAATTCAGTCTTCACAAAAGCACTAGGATATAATGACTGTATCAGGTAAAGCCAACACACAAAGGAGAAAGCAACACCTTCAGACACTACCATGAGAATGCAATGGCATTTTCCACGGGCTGTTTGTCTAGAAATCTGAGGGCTAGAGGGGAAGTATATACACCCAGGTAGGTCTTTATGAGCTGCCAGCCACTACGAGGTGGTGCCAAGAGCGGCACCAAAAGGTGCTTCTCCTGTTGTGGTAGATGTGACACGAAGCAGCTGAGCTGACAAGAGAAATGAAACCAGGAGGTGAACAGAAATGAAAATAAATAGATCTGTACCAAAAAAAAAAAACAAACAAAAAAAAGGTCAGGAGTATCTGTATGTCCAGAAGGAAAGTAAAGTAGAGAACTCCCCTAACCAGTTTAGCAACTTTAAATGTTTAAATGCAAGCAGTGCAGGTTGTGGTGGGAAAGCTGAAGGATAGCCTGGCCACTGGCTATGAGTAGTAAAACAGCAGAAATATCATTACTGCAGTTACACCAGTCACCAGAAGTGACACCAAAGTGCTTGTGCCGTTCTGGGGTGGCTTGCAAACACCTTGGAATAAAGCCAGAAAGCAACAGCTGACTTCATTTATCAGGAAAAAAATAGGGCATTTCTGCAGAGGCTGATGGATGTTAACACTGAGCAATGGACAAAGTCACAAGGTGACAGTGCTACAGGCCTCAGCTCCTTTGCTACAGCTTGTACATGAATTCTGTCTCAGGTCCTGGCGAGCTGAATGAGGGTGGTGTGGTGTCAGTGGCAGTGACAGGCATGGGGTTCCACCAAATCACTGCCACTGCGAGCACAGAGACCCGCCTGAACTGGGTCGAGCTTGTTCTATCAGCGATTACAGTGTATCTAAAATATAAAATAAATTTTATGACTCATACTTTTCAGAAAATAGATGTCCTTTTGGGGAACTCTCAGAAAAATTCTGGTGGAAACTTAACTGATCTTAGCTGACCAAAACTTTCCTGATATAGTAAAACTGCCTTTAATTTAAGACTAAATAGATGCCAATTGCACATGTCTTTGCTGAACTTTATAGCCAGTATTGGTTTTGACTTGTGAAGGTTTTCTGTTTTCAGTTTTAAATTTCAGCAGCATCTATGGATTTCAGAGAAGAAATTAATTCAGTAATGTTAAAAAAAACCACTCAACCATTTAGCATTGACAGTGCTTTCTCCTGCAGTACTTTTTGTTCCCTTTAAGGTTGATCTCATCTCAGAGGAATTTGTTTCATCTTTGCCCTCCTTAGGAAAAAAGGACCATATTATGTATCAAGGGTTACATAAGAGAATTAATTTACAGAGGGTAATTAATTTTTCTGAGGAGAGTTTTATGTTCTCATTCTCCTGCATAAGATCTAAATGTTGTCTTTTAAAATAGAGGTAATACTTTCATTTTATTTTTATGTTATCTTTATATAGATTTGGCTACATTGTTTTACATTGGAATAATTCAATTTTGTGTGAAGGAAGATGTATTTCATAGCTGAGGAGCTAAAGAGTCAAAGACAGATTTCTCAACATGGACACCAAGCCTTTGAACAGATCCCTTCAGCCACCACCCCCAGCCAGTCTGAAAAGGGAAATTGCTGAATGAACTGCTTTCTAATTCATGGCAAAACAGCAGTGGAAAGTACTTTGCTGCGGGGGAAGGCACACAAAATGATAAAAGGCTTCTTAGCCAAGAAGCAGCTGCAGAGATAGATGTGATGCAAACTTATCTTCAGGTTTCACTCTTTCTGTAAGAATAGTGTCAGACCTGCAGACTCACTCAGTGGGTCCAGCAGGCCCACTGCGTGTGCACATTCAGCATAAGGCAGGCATGCATACAAACCAACAGCAGTATTTCAGACGACCCTTAAGCACTTAGAATATGGGTCTGCCACAGCATAGCTAATGCAGCAGCACAGAGTTAAAGGATTTTCTGTTCATTGAAGTTTGCAGCACTGCCACTAGCACTGTAATTCTCGGATGCGGTATCCAACAGGCTGCCTGGTGCATGGCTCAACTTGTGTGTAGGCTTGTGGAGGGATTCCACCCTCCTGCTTCCACTCATGGCCTCTATTCCTAATCATTTCAGGTTTCCAACAAACCGAGACAAAAAGAGCCAGAAATGATGAGTATGCAGGCTGAGTGAATAGCTATTTAAGTGCTGGGCACTTAAATGTATAGCAGAGCTGCACTGCCAGAAACAGTGCTCACCTTAACAGGGAGTCCTGCCAGACTGGGATGCCTCCCAGTGGAACTGACACGAAAAACCAACACCTTTTCTTCACACAGGCTCACAAAACAAGATTAGACTAATTGATCTGATACAGCAAAACTGGCACAAACCCAATAGGAGTTAAAACTTAAAAGTGGAAGAGAATCTCTTTATCTCAATAAGCAATCTACTTACTGAGCACAGTGGTATCATCTCCTCTTGAGGCACACACAAGGGCTAGCATTAACCCTAATTATTTCTACGGAAGACTATACCCCTAGACAGTCTGTGGGCTCTGAGTACTGAGAGAAGATGCTCTTTTTCTGCTTAAAGTAATTTCCTTCCATAGCTTTTGTGCCAATTTTGAAGTATCAGATCAATTAGTTTAATCCTATTACATGTGATAATCATAAGAAGATGGTTATTTCTAGTCCAGTGCCACAGTAAGACAAAGACACACTGCAAATTGTTCTGTTTACAATTGTCAATGTTCCTGAAAAAAACCCTTGATCTTTACCAGTATATTGGTTCTCAATGTACTGGCAGTAAAGCATTTCTTTTGCAAATGGGTGCACACAAATTTTCGGATTTTTCAGCTGTTCTAATACTTTGTAAAGCATTAGCTACAGACTTGTGATTTCACACTGCAATAGGCACCCATTTTCAAATGTCCTAGCTTCTGTGTTCCATGTACAAGAAATCAGAGACACTGCCTCTCTACCTTTGCAATTTCCCATTTACAATTAAAACTGAAATACCAAAATGTGGTTTGAAACTCTTGTTTGTCATGAGTAATAATGTAATTCCTTAGGTAATAAAATTGCAGACAATTTTTAAAATTGAAGCCTTTCTTCTCTCTGATTGGGTCTGATTTGCGTTATTTGAACTAATGCCTGAAATAATATGTTGATATGTCTAAGCAGCAAATCTATGCATTTCCCCCCCTCCACCCCTTTTTTTAACCTCCAATTCCCAGAAACTGCTCCTGCACTAAAGCCTTTAAGGAAGAAGACAAAGAATCCTTTTACACACTGCTTATAATGTAAGGCATTCTTTCATTTTGAGATTACAATTTGGTCTGCAGATTGTGCGAAAGGAGATAAAAAAGGACCCAGGTCACACCTGTAAGCTCTTAAAAAAGGCTGACCAGAAGTAACATGCCAACTGTAATGCTACATGGGTTGTATAGGGAACAAGATAAGAAATCCACCTCCTTCAAAGCTGATTTAAGGCAGAACAGGTGTGACTTCCAGTTGCCAGCCTCTATTGGTGTTAGCACTTACACTGCACCAGATGTAATTAATTCATGTTTCAAACAAGGAGGTAGCTCTAAAGACTATTTGATAAAGTGGAAAGCAACTAGGAAAATTAGGCATGAAATGCATCTTTACCATCAGTAGGCTTTACAGCCTTTGGCACCACTTGTTTGAAAGCTTGTAGGAGTGTATCACTGTACAGAGGTGCCTGAGGCTAATGCAAATGATGATGACTATGCTGTATTAAAATCTCATACCTTGCAGCCTTCACATGTGATGACTCCATAGTGTATTCCAGAGGATTTATCACCACAAATTTTGCATGGTATCACTTCAATTTGTGCTGAAAGAGAAAACAAGGCAGATATTTTGAGTATATAATTGTATTAATTTCTTTTTTTCTCAAAATGAGATCTTTAGAAATAGAGAGTACATAATCAACTGAACCCCAACAATATAAAAATGCTTTGTATTGTGTGTCTGTTTCTGAATGCTTTTGTTTGGAAAATTTTAAATGCTTCACATTATGTAGTTTCTGCCACATCCCACAAAACTCTTCAACAGTTTAAAATGTCTCACAATTAGTAAGCTTTTTCTCATATTCCTTTTTTAAAGTTTTTTTTTACTGGTTAGTTTTATATTTATTATAAATGATTATTGCTAATGTTAATGCAACTGTTTGATTCTCTCAATTACTTTGAATCCCGTGTCTTTCCTTTGATGATGCTGTAAGAGCACATTAGACATGTAAGGAAAAGCTGTGCCTTTATTTAAGTCAGACGAACTGAGAAGAAATGTTAAACTTATTTTCTCTCCCTTTCATTTTCTTCTGTGTAGGATGCATGCCTCCCTGCTATTCTCCTCCTACTTTTTTTTCTCCTGGCAGATGCTGTTTCTCCATGCCCAGGGCAGGAACAGCAGCAGTTCTCTGCAACTCAAGTCATCCATCAAATCCTTGAGTAGAAAAGCTTTTTTAGTAGAGCTAGCCCAAGCACAAGGAGAGGTAGCTGTTAGTACATTTAACAAGACACATTTAACTCTAAAATGGATTGAGACAGAGAAACAAGATTATTGTCCAGATGCTAATCCTAAAAAGAGCACCCCATTTCAAACTTGTGGGCTGTTGAAAAGACTAAAAAAACTGGAAACAAATGATGCATAAAAATGAATGCAATTGTAAGCTAAGCACTAAATATGCTTGCACAGTGGATACTGTGAAAATATAATCATATAGCCTGGATTATGCCCTGTTTCTACTTATGATTATCATTTACGTCTTTTAGCAGAAGCCAGAAGTTTCCTTCCTGCTACTTCCTTCCTCCCACCACCTCGTAGTTAAACAACCAAAATTCAGTACTGTGTCCCAGCGAGCCACCTCCACCACACTTCCCACCGAAAGGTGCATTGCATACCCTACTCCTTTATCCTCCTATTTAGTGTGGAGGCTTAAGGCGTAAACTGCACAGGGGGAACACTAGCAGGCCCTCTACTTTGTAAAGTCAATTAACTATTCCCTTGGGACGGCATATTCCAAGGGACCCAGGCAAGAGGAACTTATGGACGGCTGAAGAGACTTTAGCTTGCCACTGTGAGCTCATTTTCCTGACATACTCTTTCTGATCTAGCATAATTTTAGGTTCAGGCAAGTAAACCAGTTTTAAAACTGCTCCTAATCCATGCTAGAGGGAACAGAGGGAACTCCTTAACAGAGAAGCACTTGCAGGTCTTTGGAAATTTTTCCAGGTTGGTCCTGCTCAAAAATTCCTACGCCTTATGCCCACTAGGATAAAAAACCCTTAAATATGTGCCTCGGGGTGCTGCTCTTTGTGAGGCTACTTTGAGTAACTGCCCACAGGTCTCTGCCTGAGAGTCATGTGGATGGAGAAAGTCTCAGCTCTGGGACCATGTGCTGCTTTATGTTACATTGTTACATATGTCAATGTCAGAGGCAGGAACTACAATGAAAATATAAAGAAATCTTCAGGAAAAGACAAGACAGAGGAAAAAAACCACCACAAAAACATCAAGGTACTTTTAATGTGACTTGCATATACCATTTGTAACTCTGATAGGAACAGAGAGAGAAGAATTTATCCTGAGACACTGATTGCATTTAGCACAGTACTTTTTACTGTAAGCAAACAACAATTCCATGCATGAGTCTCAATTACAAGCTCTACATTCATGGTATTTGTGGATCAAGTCCCTAAATGCTAAGGCTTTGGGTTTCAATTAATATGTAAAAAATATTTTAGACTTGTGACTCTTCAGTTAATTCAAACCTTTATTTGAAAATAACCATTCTATAAATTAGTAAATTCAGTTTTGTCTAGGAAATTGCAACCATTTCTTGTTACGAGAACTCACAGAAAAGACTTCCTTAGGACACAAAAGGCATTTGCATAAGTTTGGAAAAGTGTATTTTGCTACTGTCCCCGACATTTCTTTAATAAAAGAGCCGAACAGTTTCCGGATTGCTAACAGAAATATTGAGTGTACAAGCCAGATAAAAAAGAAACCACTGTATTCCCAGAAGAGTCTTGAGATACTGTAATGAACATAGAGCATACCATGTTTCTTTTGCAGATAAAATCACAGGTCACAGACTGCAGAATATTCTGAGTTGAAAGGGACACACAAGAATCCTCAAGTTCAACTCTTGAGTGAGCGGCCTGTATGGGGATTGAACACGCTGCCTTGGCATTAGTAGTTGGCACAGGGCACTACACTTTTTGCACATTCTGGTTTTATTTGTCCTTCTATGATCTTACGTTATTTTTCTTACTCCCTTCACCTATTAAGCCAACAAACAGTTCAGGGAGCTGTATATCTGACTTTCCTTACAGCTATTATAAAATAAGCAGCTTTCTTCTGAACTCCTTAAAAATATAAAATGCATTGACCAAGTGCCACTTCCTAAATACTGAGGGCAAAAATTGAATGAACAAACAATTGTGGAGTTGCCACAATGGTAGCTTTCACCAGCACAGGAACAGAACTGACAAATCCCAATGTGATAAACTTGAAGAAGGAATTAGAGCAAAACTACTTAGCTCCACTTCGAAAGCCTTTCCACTTGCCTTCTCACCCATTCTCCTCTGATACTATGAGCAAGAAAAATGGCTCCCACCTCTTTTCAAGCAAGCATCAATCTGAGCCCACTGGTCCAATTTTTCAGTAAGCACATTGAGATGTACCACTCAAAAAAAGCCTGCAAAACCACTATCACCCTAACATCTAAGAAAACATTTATAATGTAATAATTTATATATGCTGCACAGTAATTGCCCCCTACCACCAGTTGTAGCATCCTTCCTCAGTACCAAAGAGTCATGTCTCTGCAGATTTAATCTCTTATTCTATACTGAAGTTGAAAGTTCTTTAGGACAGGAAACTGCCTCCAGTTTTATGGGACAGTCTAGAAAATGTAATGCCACAATAGAAATTAATTAATTCTATATGACTAGTAATTCTCATCCACAGATGATGGGATAACAACCTGGAATCTAATTCAGTCTCTCACGAAAACAGAAAGTCAGGTGGAATTCTATCAAGGAAGTAAATCTAAAATTGTCTCACGTATTTAAAATGAACAGTTACATATAAAAAAAATCAGTAATTAGAAACATCTTAAACAAAACATTAGCTCAAATGTGCAGCAAGAAAAATCAAAAGCACACTGCTGGGTTTTCTATTTTTTACCAACAGAATATTACACATGGACAAAAAATCCTAAAGGCAGGAAAATGATTGGGTTTCAAAAGTTATGTGGGTGAATCTGTAATGGGAGACCGTTTTCTGAATTCCTCTTGAAAGGAAGGTAAGAGTCAACAAGGCAGCTAATATGTCAGAGGTGTATTTGTGGGGATTGTCACTCACATGCATATGATGCCTAACAAAGAAAAACAAAGTTCATATTTTATATAATTTCAGTTTAATACCTGAAGAACTTCACTTGGGAAAGACAGGACTATAATCTCACAGACCTGTAGCTTTGGTTTAAGGGGAAATAAAGACTTGAGGTTTCAGTATTTAGTTCTTGATCAAAAGACGCTAATAAAGCATGCCAGGCAAAAACTTTGAAAAGCAAGTCCTTTCTCTAATTTGTAGATCCAAGAAAGGTTGCACTTGGAAGCATCAAGACTAATCAGAAAACTGATAGTGAAAAAACCCCAACTGCTCCACCTTTCAAGAATTCCCATCACCCTTTTTTTGGAGTTCCTTGAAAATTGCTGGTAGATTGGCCTAGTTCACTTCCATGTTTTGATTCCTAACTGATTTCAAATTAAGTACATTCACCATTTTTATCTACTTGCCAACTCTGCCTTTTTTATCCTGACCTCTGTGAGTAGGAAATGCTTTTTTTCCTTGCATGTAACTGTCAGTGGAAGTTTCCATGGTAAGTTAGGCTGGCAATGAGATCTTGGCATACCCTTTGCTACTGGAATAGATGTTCTCTAGCTTCTCAGCAAGATGTTAGGTGCTTTGCATTTAATAATCTGAAAATATACAGCTGAGGAAACTACTTATGTTTAGAGCCTCTGTCATACCTCATGCAGTGAGACCTATATAGTTAGTATTATCTCAGCAAGTTAATTAATTCCAGATAATGTTAATTAATGTCTGTAGATAAATTAGCTGTCAATCATAACCCAAATGAGCCATTAGAGGAAACTGATATGGTGCAGTTAACCCAGAAAAGTAATGTTTTCATAAAATCTCAGCACTTTTGCACAGAGATACATTAAACTCTGACTGTGGGTCTGGCCCCTGGATTTGTTGTAGCAACAGAGACTCTCTGCAAAGCTGATGGTTCTCAAGTAAGCCAGTACATCTCATGAGCACAGACGCACAAATCTCAAGAAGCAGCAGTGCTTGTATATCTCTGTGTTGCACTGGGCACAGATAATAGATGTCATCTGTACGTAATTATAAAAACGTGTCTTGAGATCAAAGTAAGCAATAGCCCTAGAATTTGGATATTGAGAAATCTGATAGATCATTGCTCAAAATAGAAATCGGGTACATTAGTGAAAAAATGAATGTTTTTTCCTATAAGTACATGCAATAGCCATGCCTGATTTCTTTCACTGTCTCACACTCCTAGCTGAAGTTCTTTTAGTTTATAACAAATATCACTTGGAAGGTTATTTGGTAATATGTTTTCTTTTGCCCTTCCTCTTTCATGACTTTCCAGTGGGGAAAAAATGAACAAAAAGAACCCCAAAACAAAACCCAACCCAATCCAACCCAAATCAAACCATGATTAATTGTATACCAGCTCCCCTTACAGAACAATTCTGCCTTTTGCATGCCTACTCCAAAGACTACTGAAAAAGAGCA